TGTGTGTGTGTGTGTGTGTGTGTGTGTGTGTGTGTGTGTGTGTGTGTGAGTGTGAGTGTGAGTGAGTGTATCTTGGTTATTATGGCATCTATCCCCTTGTCCTCCTAATAAGACAGCTCCAGCTGGAGGAAGCCTTGCGTCCCTTGCAGCTGTTTGTCCTAAACTGGCCTCTTGACACGGCCCTGGAACCATCCACACCATAGAGCGCCATGTTTCTCTTTATCCTCACATTTCTCCACCATTATCCTCCTCCAACCCTTTGTCCTCTGTCACGTTCTTTAATCCACTCTTTGTTTTATTCTCACTTTCTCTCCTGATCACACTTGTCTCGCCCTTATGTCTAACCTCACATATCTTCCTCCCTCTCCTCTCTAATCTTTTCCTCTGGTCTCTTGACCTCTTGTCTTTGTGCTGCCGCTCTCCTCAGACACACCTGTGCTAAAGGACAGTCTGATCTCTTTTTTTTTTTTTCCTAATCTCCACTTTCCCTCCTTCCTTCCCGAACATACTAAGTTCCCTCACTTATATAACATGAGCTAATAACAAGCAATGGCTTCGATCCATTTCGTTGCCGGGTGCCGCAGTTTATCAGAGGAGGCTTTGTTAATGTATTTGAGCATTAAGAGTTGGGTAGACGTGAGCAGAGCAGGCAGTTTAATGACTTTCACATCACACAGCATCACGATCAGAGCTGCACTGATCTCGCTTCCAGCTGTCATCCTGTCCTCATCTTACCCATCTGCATGTCTGTCATAACTCCAACTCTGCCTGTTTATTTTTCACTCATTTAACTTGCGACTAACCACACGTCAGTGTGTAGTCTCTTCAGCTTCTGTTTAGCTGCATGAGCTGTGTGCGTGTCCCTGAGTGCAGATGATCACGTGTATTTCTGTCTTTCTGTGCATCCATCCATCTATGTTGTTTTGTGTTTGTTGACCATCCATTGTGTGTTTCAGTTCCACCGCATGACGTAAAGCGCATGGCATGGAACAGCACAGGCAACAGCTCCTGCCCCGAGTCTGAGCTCTCACAGTCCTCCATGCCTGCCGCTCCAATAGGGAGCAACACTGTCGCTGCTAAAAGCAACACTAAGCAGAGTAAGAGCACATCTGGACTAACCAACCTCAGCTTTCCCTGTCCTCTCCTCGCTGTAGCTGTTGCACGCTAAAAACTCACATTTCTCAAATGGCCATTTTCTCCGTGGTGAAGAAAGCAGGCCGTGACAATGACGGCGATCTTTAAGTGTCATCTAGTCACGTGAAGGATCTTAAGATTCTGAGGAAGAAAGAACTGAGGCGCTTATTTTCAGCTCGTGTTCTGCAACGTAATTAGAGATGAAGCAGATCACATCACATATCACACAGTTGGGTTCAAACCATAGACTATTAAAGATGGATGACATGACGGCTCCCTAAAAGTGAAGCCAAAGCATCTCTATCACCACCTGGTGGCTGGCTGCAGTATCCCATTAGTTATCTAGACGGCCCTCCATATTCTAATTTGTCCAGCCACAGTTTCCTAATGAACAAAAAAAAACATTTACACTTCTCATGATGATGTAGAGTTCTCTTTGCTGTTTGCACGCTCATGCGCTTTTGCTATCCATAAAGTCCACCCACACAGACAGTCAGACCTCATAGTTTCAGTTGCAGTTGTGTGCGTACCCTCAAGTAGAATAGGATGCATTTCTCTCATGTGAATAGCTCATGTCTTTCAGTTTTTAGTCTATGTACATGTCTTTTAGAATCAGTTTGGTGTAAGAGAAACGTCTGTGCATCTGTAACCCACGGTATTGCCATCGATTGAATTAATTATCTGGAAAAAGTTGTGGCTGCTAAATCCAGTTTTTTACAGATCAAAAATAAATTTCAAATCAATGAAGATTTTTGTCATGTTAGGTATTTCTTATTACACTTAATTATGCCCAGGTGTTACATTTCTGGTACATTGGGTTTAAATTATTAGATTTTAGAAAAACATCTGACGAAACAGCTGAGACTGACTCACAATTGGTCGAGCGAGTGTATCAGCTGGACTTCGATATTGTAGCGCCATCCTCCGTTCGCTACTGCGCAGCTTCTGGTTTCTAATGCACTGTGTCGTCCATCTTTAGTCACAGCCTATGGTTCATATATGTTCAGGTCTTGAAACGGTTAATTTACTCTTGCAGCAAGACATGAACAAGCTTTCAGTTGTGTCTTGTGGTCGTCCTCTGTGGTTGCCCATTGTCAATATGTATGAAACTTCAGTCGTGCTAACAAGTGGCCAAAACAGGAGATGAGGTTGACATTTCTGGATAAAGCTTGCAGGTGGAGCTTGATTTAATTTAAATTTTTTTGTCAAACCAAGCCCAGGGTCTAAATGAGATGGTTCTTTGTGTTTGTTTTGGAGGCAGTGTGTGTTCACACAACAGAGTGCAGTGTTGCGTCAGTTTCTGTGTCGATCAGAAGGTGAGAAGCTCAGTGACAGACGAGRTCAAGTCGCAGTGAGGGAGCTGTTATGGTTCCACTGATGAGGTTAAAGACGAGTGTGGAGCCGTTGCCACAGAGGGAGAGAGAGCCTGAGGGAAGGCGGGAGCTGAAGTGATGAGAGAAAATGTCATGAAGCAAAACACCACATAGTTAATTGTTCTATCACCTTCAAAATGGCTTCTCGTCATTCACCATCTGTCTCCTCCCTGTTCTCTCTGTAGCCCGTAAACAGGAGATCATCAAGATAACGGAGCAGCTGATTGAAGCGATCAACAATGGAGATTTTGAAGCCTACACGTCAGTACAACTGCAATATTTTTTTGCTTATTATTTATTTTACAGCTTCCTCCTATCTGGTCTTGCACTTTCTACTTCCTCTTTTCTTTTGTTTCTCAGGAGGATCTGTGACCCTGGACTCACCTCTTTTGAACCTGAGGCCCTGGGGAACCTGGTGGAAGGGATGGACTTTCATAAGTTCTATTTTGAAAACTGTGAGTCTGTTGCACACAAACAGTTCAGCTGCATGAAAACATGTCAATGAGTGAAACAACCGCAGGGTTAGGTTTGTTCTCAGGTCAAAAGAAGAGCACTAGAAAATGTATTCACTTTTCAGAAAACATCAGGTGTATTTGTATTTAAGGACGAACTGAACAGAGTTTATTGTCTGCTTGTTGTATCCAGTGCTGAGCAAGAACATCAAGCCCGTGCACACCACCCTGCTCAACCCGCACGTGCACCTGATTGGCGAGGACGCTGCGTGCATCGCCTACATCCGGCTCACACAGTTTGTGGACACCACGGGCCACCCCCGCTCCAGCCAATCCGAGGAGACCCGGGTGTGGCATCGTCGCGATGGCAAGTGGCTCAATGTTCACTTCCACTGCTCAGGAGCGCCTGCTGCACCACTTCAGTGATCAGGTATACACGTACACACACACACACACACACACACACACACACACACACAAGCAAAGCCCTTTTACTATCAGTTTCAGATTTATCTTTAAAAAGCTTCAATCAATTTCAGTGACATTGTCTTGCTCACATTTTTTTGTTTTTTTTAATGAAAAATACAAATCTAATTGAATCCTCTTCTACACCCCCACCTCCCACCACCCAAGTGGTCCTGAGCCTCCAGTCTACTGGAGTGTGTGTTTTGGGGGGCAGTTTTTTTCAGCGAGCGTGTTTATGAGGCACGTCCTCTGCGTGGATTGGCTTGTGCCAGGAGCCCGGCCGGGCGAGAACGCATCCCTCTCCACGATACCAACCAATCCTGTCCCTCCTTTGACCTGCTGGGGGCCGGCTGAACACAAGACACCGCCCCCATGGGATGATGCATGCATCTGGCGCCTGATTGGAGGGCGCGTCTTTGCCCTCTATCCCTCCCCTGGCAGCCATCTTTTTTCTGCCCGCGCGAGATGAGACGTCCCGGGGGAGGAGAGGATTTACAGTTGAACTTGTGACAGTTTATGAGTATGAGTTATGAATATACTGTGTAAATTATGACTAGATGTACCAGAAACCACCAAAACCCAACCAAGCATTTATATTCACTATCTAATAAGGGAGGAACAGAGGAGTGTGAAGTTAGCAGCTGAGATTTTGGACACATTTTTTGGCATTCTAGGGATAACCGGGTAGAAGGTGTTGTGCTCGTCACCCGGACGTTGATGTAAAGATGTAGGGAGATTTTCCCCAACTGAATTATAGAGGGGGAAAATTCAAGTCATCTCAGTCAGAGAACTTGATGACGAGAGAAACTTGATATCAAAAACAAGAAGCACCAAAGTGTAGAACTTTAGGCTTTTTATGTGTTTTCGTTTTTTGTGTGATTGTTTTTTCCGACAGAACGGAAAAAAACGTGTTGTCGTGGGATTCGGGGCGGGGGGCGTCTGATTTGAGGTTCCGTGTTTTGTTGTGTTTTTAACGTCTTGTTCTCTTTTTCGTTCCTGTGAATAACCAGAGCCTTTTTTTGTTTTGTTGTTTTGGTCTTGATTGATCTGACATTCGAGGCTCCTTTTTTAAGCAGCTGTTTTTAAAAAGAGGGATTTTACTGTGCAAGTTTAAAGCTAACCTGTGCGTTCTGTTGTGTCCGTTGGCATTGTGGAGGGAGAGTGTGGGCCAGCGAATGCATTTGCATTTAGCGTATTTGCCGCCTCTCCCTCACTCACCCCCTCCTGCTCTCTCCCCCTTTTCCTCTCTTTTATCACCTTCCCTCTCGCTCCTTTTCTCTGCTTTCTGCAAGGGCCTGGTTTGTTTATATTCACTGTGTAAATACAGTGTATGTATAGATATATGTAGAAAAGTGTAATATATGTACATGTATCTAAGAGACACTCATCCTGTGCATCTGGGTGTAGGAATCACTCATGACCTCTGTGATCACCGAGCTCCATTTTACTCACAGATTTCAAATTGCTGTTATTTTTCTTCCTTAAAATACTTCCTGAAGAAATCAGTAGCTCTGGATGATTTTACAGTATACATGAACACATACACTCCTTTAGGTGACCGGTTTGAGTCCTACGACGCTGAGACTGTTTTTAAAGATGGGGGATAAAAGAAGTATGAAATTAGTTTGACCCCCTCTGCTTAAAAAGTTTTAAATATGAAAACCTGCATCATAGCTTTCTTAACTCCTGATCCCACAATGCTGTGAGCTGTCTCTTCATATCATAGGCACACACACACACTCAGACACTCACACACACGCCTGGTGGTGTGTCTAGGCTTTGTAACATATCTGCACCACTACTGTGCGACCAGGGCACCACCCTTGCTGTGCTGCTTTATTGTCTCCATCCATCAGCGACACTTGTATCTTAAAACACCCCCCCCCTCTCCCTCTCCCTTCCACCTGATATCTCTAACCCCGGTGTACCCACAATTCCCTGCTCTTGAGATGTTTAGTTGTACCTCTGTTGTTTCTCTGTTTCCCGTGTTACTGGTTTGATTTTTTTCTTTCCAAAATGTTATTTTATTACTATGATTATGTCGTTGTCGTCGCTGTTGCTGTTGACTTGTCGTTTTGGTAATTTGCCGATCTGCCAAGCTGGAGTTCTGCACTCTCCCTCAAACACCGGAATTTCAAAAAAAACAAAAAAAGAAATTTGTGAAAAGAGGGAGAAAGCATAGACAACAAAAATTTTACAGATTTGCATGATCATAGATTGATCAGGACTCAATTATTTATTAATGTAATCTGCCCTCGGTGGTTTTAAATCGTGCCTGCTCAGTTGAGGAGTGTTGAAAGCCAGAGAGAGAGAGAGAGAAAAAGCGTTGGTGTGGGTGTGCAGGTTTCTGTGACCTCCACTGTCGAACCAGAGCGGGAGACCTAGTTATATGCATGTTTCAGTTACGCATTTCTACCATGTACCTACCTGAATAAGGATGGAAAACTAGTGTTAATATATGATATTTGCATCTTTTGAAATAAGAATTTCCTCCATCCAGAATGTTGAATAGGTGACATGAAAAACAAAAAAAAATGCAAAATTAAAAAAAATATTAAAACAAACGGATTCAGGAGCCGTAGCTTGGTATGAGGCCCTTGATGTTAGCGTTTTTCCCTGCGTTGTAATGATATAATATTGGGCTGCGCTTTCTCCCCCAGCCTTCACATGGATGCTGGAGTTTTTTTGCATGATCATGATGTACAATGAAATACAACCATGAATTGACGACTATCAAGTGTTTGTCTGAGTGTTAGTTGGTCTTCATCATAGCTTTGTTATTCTTCGAACTTGGATCTTGAAAGTATTTAATAAAAATACTATTTCAGCACTGGTTTGTCTCTTTCGACTCGTTCATTTCTTTAAAAGATGGAACCCCAGTTGTTGTTGTCACGCAGAAACATTTGTGTTCCTTCCTCAGCAAATATCTCATTGGAAAGGTGACTAATCTCTGGAAATGTGCTCCATCCATCCCCAGACCAAACAACCTGCCAGGACAGATTTGTGTTTACCCAAGGTGCTTTTTCACACCATGGTCTCTGAACCAATGGTCTTTCACACTTGTCTGCAGCCTCATACCTTCTGTCGAGAAAGTTACACCATTGAAGGCTTTTTTTTTTATTGGTTTCATCCTGTGTATTTTTAAACTTTCTCAGGCTGGATTTTTGAGTGTGTCTCACCCTGAAATTGCCAAATTTGGAGCTGGTAGAGAAACGCGAGTCACGTTACAGATTATGTAACACTGCAACATTGATTAGTCATGCTGAATATCCGCTCATGTCCAAGTTTAGGAGAGGAAACTATTCGGGTGACCTTCAGAAGGAAGAAGTTGAAATGGAACCACGTGTTCGTGTGGTTGACCCCGGACGCTGTGAGCAGCACCCAGCTCTGCAGCTGTTGTAATTTGCCCTCCGCACTCATCTGTCCTCACATAACCGCGTCACATTAAGCCCCAGACGGACAAACTGCAGAGAAAAACCATCACTGCTGTCTGTCCACCAGCTCGTTCCCACTTCAGACTCCCCTGTCTTCCACTGCTCTTATTTTAGCCGCAGTGCACACAGCGAAGAGTTGAGTAACGCCAGAGCCTTATTTAAAAAGGTTTTCTGCTGTTATTTATGAGGCTCCCAGTTATTTTAAGGAATGTGTGTGTGTGTCCCTGAGATGTAGGGCAGCCCCCCCCCCCCCGGTTCCTCTGCTCTCTGTGTGATTAATGAGGAGAGCACAGCAGCACACGCTCATTTACTTCTCAAAGACGCAGAGAAAAGGAGGAAACTCTTGAGGGAACGCGTCTCGCTCTCTCTGACCTCCGACTCTTTAGTGTCAATAAAAGGAGAGAAAGTTTGACCCTGAACGAGACTCTTGAATCTAAATTTCTGTTGAAGGGCGAGTTCCCTGTTTTCATCTCAGAGTTTATATAGATGATTTTGATGTTTCATGTCCATATATAACAGGACCTTACTAAAAGGTATTTTTAAATCTATATTTAAGGAATGTGAAAATATATTTTGGGCAAATCAGTTAAAAAAATTGTTTTAGATTTATGTTAAAACTTCACTATTAGTGCTTTATTATATTACTTTCTCAACATTGGTGAGTTTGTATGATGCTCTATACAATTGCAAACTATAGAATCTCATCCATCTGCACCAAATTGCACACACTCATAAATATCCCTAATTATTCATTCATTTCACCAAGATCCACGAAATCAACGAAAATGTTGAAAAACTGCCAAAAATATCAAAATGTTACATAAAGTGAAACAAGTATTCCTGGTTCCACCCACTACATTTCATGGTAGTCTGTGCAGTAGTTGTTGAGTAATCCTGCTAAATAACAAGCACAAAAACAACCTCCTTTGCGTAGTTTAAAATACCCAATTGCCCCATTAACTGCACTGTGTGGATTTAGTGAAAAGCTGCAGCTGTTTCATAAAAACACAAAATGAATTTCATTAAAACAGTGAGTCCAACCCTCTGACATGTAATTATGAATTTTCTTATGTGACAGGAAGAGTAGTAGATCTGTATCTTAAGACCAGCTGGTCATTGTCTGTCAAAGTTTGAACTACATGCTACATTATTCCAAGATGCACAGTATGAACCTCGGGATCCTGGGTGACGTCAGATTTGTTGAGATTTAACTGATTCATCGCTAGTTTCCCAAAAACCTGAAAAGTAAAATATCACAAATGCCAATAATCCAATAATACTAATGATTTTGATGTAATCAGTCCAGCATCAGGGGTTCACAGGGTTTGTTTTGTTAGCGTCACAGTGACGCATGACGTGTTTGTTTTTTTATAATTATATTTATTTTATATCGCTGCCTTACAATGAAATTGAACCCAATGTTTGTATTCGTGGCCCCTCGTGATTAATCATTGACCTCATCATCGCCAAAGCGTGAGAGCTCAGCAAATCTGCAACCAATGAACCCAGGGAACCTTTTCGTTGGCCTCACCTCCATCCCATTATCCAGAGAGCGCAGTTCCAAATCCACTTCAATCTCTGATCTTCCACTTCTCCATTTCTTTGAATTTAATTTCCTCTTCTCTTTCTGGCTCCTGTGGATGTTGAACTCCTGAAGGCCAGGGAGCGAGACATCGATCTCAGACGGACACAGAAGCCGTCGCAAATATGTGAGAGCTGCTGCAGCTTTGCTGTGGTGTAATTCTTCTCGAGAGCTGTAATGACTCCTCCGGTTCTCCTCTTGATTGCCTCCTTGCTCCTTCCTAATCATACTAACGAGCTCTGATTGGCTCCTCTCAATCGAGGTCACGAGGGCGGTGAACACCTGCACGCTCTGTCCTTGTGGGCGAGACACTTGACTTCCTGGACATTCTGCAGCTTCTCCTGGACCATCTGGTGCTTTAACTCCACAAGGACAATGTTAGGAGTTTATTTAACTCACCGTGAATTTAATGTTATTTTTAATGTCCGTTTTTTTATTGTTTGTCCGATGGCTGAGTGGTTTCTGCTGACTGATGATCCCACGAATAATAAAGACTTGATCCTGGATTGTGATCTTCGCTGATGCAGAACCAGTCAAACGCACTCTGTCGATCCTGAACAACATTTCACCTTTTCTAATCCTCTGACTGTCAAGTGTTTACGGTAATCCTATCAGATTTTGCTATGATCTCAACCAGCCAATCGTATGTCGCTGCCAGACTTTAAATCTGTTTCTCCTCTCTGTCGCCGTCAGCTGTCAGTTTCAGTCTCGACATCCCATCAACCACCACCAGTGTCTAGACCCCGGGGTGGGGGGTGGGTTGCCCTATACTACACAGCCTCACCCTCTTTCAACCGTTGATGACATCACAAGGGGTCTAAGCGTAAAATGGACTCAGTTATCTCACATCACTTTCTTCTCAAGGAAACATTGTGTTCAGTCGTAACATCAGGGTTGAGCAGAGTGTCTGTGATGAGGCTGAACCATGTCAAACATTCGAGGTGAAACTTCAACTGTTCGAGCTTCACAACCTTCGTCTCCGTCGTCTGCAGCAGATTCATCGATGCTTCTTCTGCGATTGGTTTTAACTCATGGTGAATATCTCCTTGCAGTGTGAAGTGACACAGAACCTCATAGAAGTTGCGGACACAGGCAGGAAGCCGTGTCTGCAGCATTAAGTAAACCACAGTGTTACTTCCTGGAAAATAATGGCTTTTGTTTTTCATCTCAAACCAACAAGCTTGTGTTTTCTTCCATTTTTAAGTACTGCAGCGTGTAGAACAGGTCAGATTAACTATATTTCTTTATTCGGACATTTTGAACTCCAGACTTTGGGTTGAAGGTGTCCAGACACTTTCTCCCTGTCATCTTACTCAAGTACCACATATACAGGATGTGAAAAAAGTTTGAATAAGTGCTCTGCATCTTGAATGAATGAATGACACAGCTCTTCTCCATGTTCAAATCTAATTATGTTTATTGTAAAACATTATGATTATGCTCTTATGACAGTCCCGCCACCCCTTATGTTGCTATGCTGCACATCCAGTTTGAGATGTGACTTAACCCTTTGAAGAACTGACTCTTATAAAAACTGATTTGTTTTATACACTCTTCTATATATAATGTTAAGGATTATAATAATAATTTTGATTACATACCCAGAATATAACACATTTCCATGTATATATATAGTGCTTTTCTAAATCTGGATCTAGTGAATTTAAAACTGGTTTCATCAGGGGACCGTTGAGCCTTGGTGGAGTCATGTGCCCTCTGAGTGCCACTCTAGTTTCATTATTAAACACACGAGTGGCTACTTGTCCAGACAGGAGGTCTATGCCCCAACATCAATGCTGATTTTCATTCTAGTAAATGAAACTCTTCATAGAGAAAACTTCATACTTTCAATAATATGTCACATATTCAGCTGCCGACTCATTTGTGCTTATTATCAATCGGTTTTTCTACAGTTGTGACCAAATATGATTTAATCCACGGCAACAAGGGTTTCCTCTGATCCCCCTTTATTCAGAGAGAACCGGTTCAAACAAAAGGAAAGATTACCAGGCCTCATCAGTGACTGAGAGCAGCAGCTAAGGAGATTTACTTTTCAATTACGCACAAGCCATAAATGTTTTGTCTGGATTTTTTCCCCCAACTTATAAGATCCATGTGTATTTGGGATTGGTAAATGTCCGATAATCTCTGCAGGGCCTTGAAATGTTTTATTAAATCAAATTCTTAAAGACCACAAAAAAATGGAGCTTTGCATTTTGTATAACCACATTTTGAGAACGTGCTTGTGAAAAGAAAGAGGAGACAACACAACACCGACGCAGACTTTTTTCCTTTGCAGGTATATGTTTTAATACTCAACCATGATTCAGCACATAACACTGAGGAACAGCTGATGGGTGTAACAGTTAAAAGTAGGCCTCATTCTTTAACACTTGCTTTCTGCTCCCTCTCCATCTGACCGTAGACGTACAGTATTTACACGAACCCACAGGATCTGCAGGGCCACACGTCGAGTCTCTGGGGGGCAGGGTTTATGTACAGGGGTCCTAACAACAGGCATGGGGGGGGTTACAAGATGGTTACAAGATGCTTCACGACACAGTAGGTCACAGTACAACAAAGCACAAGTCAAGTCCGCACACTTACAGCGAGAGTATAAAAAAAGATCCACCAGGGCCTAAGCTTTACCCAGCGACCCTGTGAAAATAGAGCAACGTCGCCCTCTTCTGGACAGATCACACATCTGCTCAGCCAACAACTGACCAGACAACATTACACGTCCACAGTTCAGCTATCTAAAAATGCAGAACACTCACTATCTAATCTCTGGTAGCAGCAGCTATCTACCTGTCTATCTGCCTACTCGTTTATCTAACTAGAGCCAATCATGACGCGACACTCGGCTTCCGATGGCTTTGAGAGGAGAGAATTGTCCTGTACAAGTTTAAAGGACCACACCGGTGGGGGGGTTTGCGAGTTTTGTGTTTCAGGTTTTTTTTCTATGCAGTGTATTTTCCAGTTTTCCATGCAGCCACTGTTTCCTTTGTTTCCCCTTTAGAATAGAAATCAATCAAATCCTGCAAGATGATTTTCAAAAAAGTCCATTAATGTTGTGGTAATGCAGTTTAATTGATCTGCGCTGCAGCGCCTCTCACCAATTATGAAACTTTGGCAAAAAAGTAAATATCTTCAGGTTTTACGATGTTTCAGGAGTCAGCTCATTGATTTTCATAATGCAAGAAAATCAATGGACGCCAAAAGCTACTGGGAAAGAGGTGAATATACTTTCAAGAACATTGTTGCACTTACAATATGAAGTGAAAGTGCAAGAAAAAGACAAAACTTTTTCACAGAAAACTAAAATTTTGCCTGTAAGTAATGACTTTTTTTAATGGTTAATACAATTATTGCTGATTTTAGTTTGGAGAGTCGGGAAACGTTCCTTCCTCTAGTCTGCTTTTCTAAACGTTAACGCATCATTAACATTCACAGGTCACGAGTTCTGTTTCACAAGTTAGTGAGTCATCTGTGATTAAAAAGAGTAACACTAAAGTTGTGTCACATGCTCAACTGGTTCATAAATTGCAAGTAAATTTACTAACCACAGATAAAGCCATTAAATACAGTTATCTAAAGCCTTAACAATAGGTGCCTCATTCAGAAAGTGGTACCCATTATACATTATTACAAAACTAGTTTACTGTTTGTGAGGGCAGAAGGTACAACTGCTAATACTAATACCACTACCACTACTACTACCACTAATAATAATAATAATAATAATCAAAATGATTAAGAGTTCTTTTTCCTTTTAGATTTTTCTCATGTATTATCTGCTGTGTCAGTTAATCTTAAAAAGTACCCTCCAATTATTATCTTTTTATTATTAGTAGTAGTAGTTGTAGTAGTAATGGTGTAGTAGTGGTGGCAAAAATCATATTATCAAAGTAGTTTTATGTGTGTTTGAGGTTGGAGGGTACTACTATTACTGCTGCTACTACTACTACTTCTACTTCTTCTATTAAAAATACTAATAATAATTCGAGAGTGTGTTTTCAGATAAATGTACAGATAATATAAAGGAAAATATCAAATTAAAATGAAATATTTAAATGTTAAAGCAAATATTAAAGGCAGTTCTAATAAGGTGAGTTTTGGGAGGATTATCTGGCACAAGAATTAACTTTGGGATGAACAAAGTTCTTCTTCATCTTATCTTCAAGACAGATTTCCTGATGTTTCATTTCTCTTTATTACCTCTGATATGTGTTTGCAAGACTTTGATCTCCCAGTTGCTTCCTGTATTGATTTACCCTCAGGTTTTTCATTCCCTGTAATAATTATAATTGGGAACAATAGTGAGTTAAATTCCAATGGTCAAAGAAAACCACAGAAATGAGCCATTTGATGTCACTGTAATCTTTCAGATTCCTTTTTTTGTTGCCCTGAAGCTCGACAGCATCAGTGTTGAATATAAGTCACTGATAATAAAAACACACAAAGCTGCTGAATCACTGGTGTGGTCCCTGGTTAAATACAGTAGCTTAGTCGTGGGTCTAAATAAACAACAGCACTTGCACCAATAAAGGTAAAAGACAGCCTGAAGAGAGGAGCCCTGTTTAAAATATACGCAAAATCACCCACATGTATAATCTCAGAGGGACACTGATGATATGCAGTCAGCCTTTATGCTATAGATGCTCTGATGGTTAGTTTGTAGAAATCTTCTAACAGCTGACACATGAAGACACACGATAAGAGGTTAATTTTAGCATAGATTCTTGTGTGACCATCTCAGAAATGTCCCGCGGACGTTCTTATGCTAACACTATTGTCCTTACAATACATGCCATGCTGATTTTTTGATTTTCGGTATCGGTGTAAGGCCCTCATCAGCACGCTGCCGACAGATCGGCCGTTGTTCTGGCTCGTAAATGTCTGTAACTCACATGTAAAACACCAGACGTCACCCACACACTCTGCCGTCATCATCTTTTGGAAACATCTGTCCACATCGAATGGCAAAAAGCTGTAGTGTAAAGCACTTCAAGACCAGAAAAGCGCATTATAAATACAGACCATTTACCATTTACATCGCTGTGCTCGTCTGACGATAAGAAGCTGCAAACACTTTGTTCAGATCTGAAATTAGCACAGACACGGTCGTTTTTTTACTTTTTAAATTAAGAGCATCTTTCTTTTTGGCCTTCCTTTCACCCTCCTCCTCCTCCTCAGGCGGTCACATGGCACAGATGGTAAGCCAATGGCGCGGCCTCAATCAGACCAGGATTTGTGTGTTTGTGTCTGCTTCATGGTGGGCATGTGAGCTCTTGGTGTGTGTGTTGCCGTGCTGATTGGTGTGCGAATGATGAGTGTGGGCGTGTTTCAGTTTGATCTCACCAATTTCGTTTGTCTGTTGTTGATCGTGCATGTGTAGGTAATTATCTTCGCCCTCGCTGTGTGTGTGCCCTTCATGGGTTGTGTGCGTTACATCATTGTGCGTCACATCTTCTTGTGTCTGCGTCTGCGGTTCCTCCGAATGCTCCGTCATGTTGATGACCTCGTCGATCCAGCCCCTGAAGCGGCTGACTCGAGTGTAGAGCGCAGGGGAGGAAGGGTCAGCACAGCTGAAACCCCCGGCAACCACCCCGGTGAGGACCCATCGACCAGTCTCACGTTGACAAACCAGCCCGCCTCCGGAGTTACCCTGACAACTGTTGCCATGGAGGAGACTAGTGTCTGGAGGACTGCCAGCACACAGAGTGCCGTGACTGGAGAAACTATCGCCATAGCGCTTCTTACATTGCCATGACGACATCAGAGGGACCCAGGATGCAAGAACGGAGTCTGGGAGAGACGACAGAGAAGACGATTAAAGAGGAACAATTAGTAAATCAATCCTGCTAACATGCTAATGTTTAGCAGTAATAACATTCTAACATCACAGAAAGATGGATCTGATCCCAAAACTGAAGCCAGAGCATCTCAGTCGCCACCTGCTGGTTGGCTGCAGTATAGCGTGTAAATATGTTTAAAAAAAGAAAAATACACTGAAGACGGAGAAAAAACACAAACCTGGTCCTGTCCATCCAGCAGTAACCATGACAACACAAGAGGATGGATTGTTTCCCCCTGATCCCGTATCAGCAGCAGGAAGGCATGCCGCGTTCGTGTCAGGGTCAAAGGTCAGACAGTGACCCTTGGCGCTGGGCAGCTTCAACAAAGCCAGGTCATGACCTCCGCTCTGACCCTTGTACTTCCGGTGAACGACCACATGCTCCGGAGTGAGAGTCTGCTCCGACGCCCCGACACGCACCACGTACTGGGAGGGGTCGCTACCAAACCTGGAGGCGAGAGAGAGAGAGAGAGCAGGAAAGAAGGAACTTTAGCTGGATACTTGTGAGTGTCTCCGCTGAAGATTCCTCCAGCGTAGGAAGCGATTTACAGCTCGGGGTCAGATTCACCTGCTGACACAGTGAGCAGAGGTCAGCGCCCAGCAGGGGCTGATCAGAGTGCCACTGCAGAGAGGACCGCCATCTTTCTCTTGGGATTGAAGCCACACTGACACCTGCCATGGCCACGTGGTCCTGAGAGAGAGACAAAACACAATTCCTTCATTCTTCTATGGTTGAGTCTCTGAAGCTTAGTTTTTATTTCAGTATACATAAATGGGAGGTTTTATTAAAATGTAAATATGGATTCTAAAGAAAATTACAAATCAACATTTTTGTAACTGAATTGAAGAAGGATCTTAGTCATGTAATTGTTCTTTGAATCGACAGATGGGGGCAGTATCGGACCATAAAATTTAAAAATGCTCAAATACATTTTTCCCAAAGATAGTTTCTGATATTGCAGGTAGTTCTTATCACACTGAATTTGGTTCAAATGTTCATCTTCTGGTAAGTTTGTTTTTATTTGTTATTTGATGATATAAGAATGTGAAACTTCATGATTGACAGCTGACGGGACCCCGCCACCGCCTCTTTCCACTGAGACTCTGGCTCCAAACCGGCAAGTGTGCCATTGTGCATGTTGTCTTCTTTCTGTATTTTGTATTGTGTGTCCAGACAGGATAAAGCCACACATCTGGACATGTTTTGTCTTACGTGAGCATGTTCTCCTCTCCTCGGTTCCTCCTCTTGCTATCCTCCTCCACCAGCTTCCTCAGCCCACAGCTCTGCTCCTGAGGCTTGGCCTGCGCCGGGGACTCCCGCGGCGCGATGTCACAACTCACCCCGGCGTCGTCCCTGCGTCTGCAGCCCTGGAAGCTCTGACCCAGGGACGGACACTCTCCCAGGAACTCCTCCTTCCCCGTGCACCTCACCTGGTCCAGGTGAATGGGGCCTTTCCCCTGACCGAACCCTCCGGCTGCTACCGCTCCACCACTGAAAAGAATAAGGGAGAGAATATAAGTGTTCTGCCTTTTTCTTTTGCTATCACACTGTTCTTATTTAGGGGAATTTAACATTAACCTGTGTCCGAGCTGTCTGCACACTACGGCGGCGTTCAGGTCATTCCATCCCGAGTCGCAGATGCTCCCCCAGTCACCATGGAGATACACCTCCACTCGACCCTCCTTTCTGCTGCTGCCACCCACAAGACGCACCAGGGGACCTGACAGACAGGAAAGAAAAAAACAACACAAACTCATTGTTATTCATGTCTGTGCATCTACACACTCCAGTCTCAAGTTATATGTCTCCTGACAGAATTAAATGTCACCCGCCCCCTGGTGGGTTTTTATTCTGCCGTTATTCTCATTCTAATGGCCTGTGTGTGTCGACAGGAGGCGCAGGACCTCAGGAGCGCTGAGACGGCAAACAGCGCTTTATTCTCTCCGCTGTCAACATGTGGCATTTAAACTCTTTGGACAGACAGACACTGGCGTTTTCACAATGAGGGGACGATGCAGTGACACAAAAGGCGACATCTTTCACAGATGGATAGATCGATGTTTGCATCTTGTGTTGATCGTGGATACAAAGTTCATTCTGATGCCTTATCTGCTGACGTGATGTGAACAGCTCAGACTCTGGCGTGAGACCAGTCCTCTGTCGTGACAGCTTGCCCTTTAGGCGGAAAAATTAATTGCAGTCGCACAGTCACCAAACTTCTGCAGTGCAGTGCGATGTTTGCCAGAATTGTTCTTTTCATTTCTCCCTCCCTTCTTTTGCTCTCATTGTAAATGTGGAGCATGTTGTCACCAGCATTGTCTGAACTCTGAAAATGAATGCTGCTATTAACATCCATCCTGGGGGGGGGGTCCCATCACAAGTGCTTCCTGAGTTCACATCACACATTTGAAACACCTGCTACAACTACAGCCTGAGGTTGTACTCAGCAGCTTCGAGGTGTGAATGTGTTCAGGCACTGAATGAATTAAGTTTTAAAATAAGACTGATAATAATAAATTAGTCTCTCGTCAGGTTTCAGGTCGACAGAAACTATTGAAACATGCATCAAGCTTCATTCATCTCTCGTCTCTTTACCTGTGGAAGGTGCGATAACCGGCACCTCATTGGTCTCAAGGCCGAATCGTCCCCTGCAGCGAACGCCGACGTCCTCGCTGTGAGAGCAGTCGGTCCGCCCCCAGATCCCATGCGGACAGTCCAGTAGGGAGGTCTCAGATCCCTCGCAGTGCACGTCGTCCAGCAGGATCAGACCGACACCCTCCCCGAAGGTGCCGTCTGACACGACCTCAGCGTGACCCCTGTGGGCGGAGAAGACGTCAATGTCTACTCTTGTAAAGTGTGATTATTTACTGTGGTCAACACGTTGTCCTTTCACTTTTACATCATGCAGATTTTGGAGGAAAGTTTTGGTCCAAATGCTCTGAAAGTGAAAGTGGAATAGTTCAGACGACTGCAGCAGAAGTGAGTTTGATGTTATTAATGTGAATTTTCCACCATAACTCTGAATATTTGATGCTCAATATAACACAGACACTCCGGGGAAATAAGCAGGCGACAGTAACCAATAACAGCAGAGCAAGACAAAAACCAAGCGACTCTCTGTCCCTTCTGTGCACCATGCATACCAGCATGTAGAAAACAAAATGATGTTGCACTTATATTACTGTGATTACAATGTAAACATAATGAAATGATCTCAGCCGGGGCAATAATAAAACTTCTCCCACCAAGAGGCCAAATATAATAATGTGAAATTACTCCAAGTTAAAATACGTAATGTAACACAGACTTACAGAACACATATGAGTTAATTAAATATTAATATTGTAAATTGTACATTTAAGTTGCTTTGATTCGATGATAGTTTTGATGTTTATTTAAAGTTAAGTAAAGTTAAGGTTTTTTTATTATTAAACTCTAGATTGGAGTTACTACTTTAAAGCTGTCGAGTTGGACCCATAGACTGTGTATAAAGCTCAAGGTTACAGTCTTTGTCTTCAAATATTTCTACTTAGAGTTAAAAAAATACATCTTTCAAAAATCACCAATTTGTCATGGAGGTCGAACAATGGGAAATGTTAAGAGTTTATTTTTAAATATGTTCCTTTAGAGTTTCACACATGAGATGCTCAGCTCATCGGCCTCTGGTCTGTGTGTCTGTGATCTAATAAAGTGTAAACACATTAGAAACTAGCTTTAGGCCTTAAATTTTCATTTCCCCTGTTAATCCAAACTTTCTCATTTTACCTGTTTTCTTAATAAATTCAACACAATGTTCATTTGCACAGCACTAATACCATCAGTGCAGTTAGAGGCGTGCCAGATGTTCCATTCCGCATTTCACCCCCTGAACGACGTTAATGTACCGTGAATGAAACTCAACACGTTCTCAAGCATCTGCACGTTAAATTACTTGCAGCAAAACTTTTATGAGTTGAATTTAATGCCGAAAAAAAAAACTCAATGCGGGGGAAAACAGTGTTTAAGTTTTTTGTGGCAAAGAAAAAACTATTAATTACTTTTAAAACGGAAACTTAGACCTGCAGAGGCATGAGTGTAACACGACTCTGCTGCAGTAATGACGGGATTAGTGCTGTGTAAATGTGCATTATAATTAATTCATCATGTGAGATGCTGTATTATGAGACAAGTAATTTAATTCTCCTGTGTTTTCTCTTTGTACCTGACCTTTATTATCCGCTGGCCTTTATTTGTTCTTGTTGGCCACACCTCAGGTAATCATTGCAGAATTATGATGAACAAACAAACCTGTCGTCAGATGTTGGTGAAGAAAATGTCTGCCAGAACCAAAACCTTTTTAGAAGTAGGTTACCGGGGGCTTTAACTCCACAGAATCACAATGTTGTTTAGTTACCTGTAGCCCAGCTGTCTGCAGACCACCTCTGCATGCTGCTGGGTCCAGCGGTCGTCACACACCGTCCCCCAGTCACCGTTGTGTAAAACTTCGACTCGACCCTCCCAGGGACTGTCTCCTCCCACCAGACGCACCACGCCATCTGAAACAGTCTCATATTGATTATTAAATCCTCTTGGAGTGATTAAAAGCAGAAACAATTGACTTGACTTTGCAAGCACGAGCCAAGACGACACTTTACAGATGCAGCATTAACATTAAGCTTAATGCATCGTTTTCAGATTAATTAATCATCTTCGATTAGTCAGATGAACGGCATCTGCTGTTTCGTGCTGGTCGATACTTTATGCGTTACGTCTTAGTTCCCATTAATCCTGTTTCTGCTTGTCACACAGAGGATGTTGATGCTTCGTGTGGTAATGATTTATTGATGCTCCGGGGCTATGAATAGCAGCTTTATAAGCCTATCTGTGAGTGTGTGTGTGTGTGTGTGTGTGTGTGTGTGTGTGTGTGTGTGTACCAGTGTAAGGGCTGCATGAGACCCCAGCATCCTCCATGTGGTCACAGTTGTGTTGCTCCCAGTCACCATGCGGACACTGATCCAAGAAGAGCTCGTTTCCTGTGCACTTCACGGCATCGAGCAGGATCGGGCCTGAGCCCTGACCGAAGTGAGCCCACGACCAGGCCTTCGCTACACCCCTGTAACACACACACATACACATACACACTCACAGTTTGGTTTTTGATAAAGAAAATAGGCAGCAGATTCATTGATACTGAAAAGAAATAGATTTACTTGCAGCTCATTGGTTTTTGTCTTTTTGTTTAATTTGTTGAGGGTAAGAAAACTGTCTGATACCAGCTTTATCCTTCAATGCACAGACACACTCCACACGTTGAAGTATGATTTTAAATCTATTTGCACATACTGTGTATTAACTTGACGTAGAGAGAAAAAACCTCAACATACCCAAAACCCAGCTGCCTGCACACCACCTCAGCATCTCTGTCGTCCCACTGGTCATCGCAGACCGAGCCCCACCTTCCAGTGTGAAACACCTCCACTCGACCTTCAAAGTCTTCCTCGCCTCCGACCAAACGCAGCGGAGGACCACTGCCTGCAAAACACAGGCAATGTAGGAATTAACCTGGAATTCATCTGCATCTTCACATCTGCCTTATAAAGTCTCTGCAGTTTATTTGGAATTTTAAACAAAGTGTTACCACGAAGTATTTTATAACAGAAAAACGGCGTCTGTCATGAATCTGTCTTTCTCAGGTTTGCGGAGGTGGGATAAATTCAGGTTGCTATGACACTGTAGAAGTCACACTGACCTTCTGGTGGCGCGCACAGCACAGCCGCCTCGTTTCCATGACTACAGTCACCGGTGACGAACGTCCTGCTCCGGCACCTGCTCAGGGTGTTCTCATCCCCGCGGCAACCCAGACGCTCGTAGTGAAAGAGGCCGGAGCCCGAGCCAAACTGTGAGTGCTGCAATGCTGTGCCGATGTCACTGTTAAAAAACATGAACTAATTAATCAAGAAATCTATTTTTACATTTATTTTTATTTCTAATTTATACTACTATTATATTTCACTA